CGAAACTCATGTAACTCCTTAAAGAATGTCCGAATGGTGCAAGCTAGAAGCCTATTTTATGATATCCTCATTATTATTTTATTTAAGTATGTTTTTTCACAGTAGTGGTACTTTTTGATCTTCTAGCAATCAGCGTTTATTCAGTTTATTTGTCTCTTAAAATCAACAATCGTAAAAAATATATTTTCGACGGAACAGTAGCAATTTCAAACAACTTAAACGATGAGCACAACTAGGAGAAGGCTACACTGTCTAATGAGCTACTTCGGATCCGTGTTAAAGGTTCTCGGTACATATATTGCGAACCAGAGAGAGGAAGAATATCTTGCTCAATTAACGAGCTTTGCCAATCGGAGGAGCCTTATTGACCTGAGACTAGTTAAGGTTATAGAAACTTAATGTTAAAAAGTGTATATTGAGAAAATTAAATCCAGCTTTCGACGCGATTGAATAAAAAATTGCTTAATTTTTCTTCTTACTCAATTGGTTTCTCTAACATTTACAAAAATTACAAATTGCCAGCCTTAAAGTACAGAGCTGAAACAACACCTGTAACACGTCGATGTCATTCTGGCGCTACACCAGCACCAAACGCGTGTAAATTAAAGAAAGCGAACAAATAAAGCTAAGCAAAATAAAGTGAAACCAATTGAAAGAACTCGTAAATTTCGAAGCAATTCTCAGTCATAAATCAAGCGACAATAAAAACTAAGTAAATGAGCGAGAAAAAATCCGTTAAGAAAATAATTTTCAGCATCGAACGAAGCGACGCGAAACTTAGGCGAAATCGCAAATGAAACAACGCGTCAAATGTCAGCAACATGTGGCCGCAACGTTGAGTAATTTTCAAGTAAATGCGTCAAGGCAGAAAAAAAAATGCTTGAAACACTTGAAAAAACAAAAACAAAAACAAAGCAAGTGAGTATGAGCGGGCGCTGAAGGGTACTAAAATGCTAAAACTTGCTGCGCCAAAAACATCACAAGAAAGTTGCCATCTGAACTTGACTGCTGCTGCTGCGCGCCTTGACAGCGGCCAGTGGCGCTGTGCAGAATTTAAGCGCTCAAAATGTAAAAGGACAAAAAAAAAACAAACTAAAACAAAAACAAAACGATGGAAATTTGTTGTGCGGAAAAAATTTAATTGAGGTGACATTTTCGCGACAGCGACAACAGCAGCTGCGGCCAACTGCAGACCAGCGGCCAAGGTGAATGCGTATACGCCCCGTGGGCAGTGCGATGCTTGTAACAGCAGCAGCAAAATCTTAGGGAAAACGAGCGCCTGCGACTGCAGAAAATTAGCGGCGACAAACGGTGAAATGTTTAATTGAAAAAATTGCCAATGCGGCAATTTCAAGCGTTACCTACCCCGCAGCGCTAGTGTTTACTCAGCTAAGCAGGCGCGTGTGTGTGTGTGTGTGTCGCTGCAATGTGTTCCATTTTTAATAAAACACAATTTGGTGAGCTAGAAAATTTTTAATTACTCATCCGTGAGGGAAGCGAATGTTATTTAATAGCCGTGTGTGTGTGTGTGTATAACGTTTGTAATTTGAGTGGGCTGTGGAATATGCGCTACATGCGTACACGATTTTTACATTTTTACTATCGAATCTCGCTTCATTTGCACTGCCGCCTGCGCTTGCACTTAATTTACCACTTCCGCGCCCAGCGTATAGCGATTTTATCTATTTTAACCCCAAACTGTCGCATAACTTTTGTCACATTCGACGTTTAATTTGTTCTCGTTTCCATCGGCGCGCGTGTGCCACCCACAGTTATTTCACGCATAATTTTAGCTTGAAATTGCTGGTTTATCACTTAAAATTTGTTATCCTTTTCGGAATATTTTCTGCTTTGCTTTGTGTCATCACGTGGTTTGGGCTTAAAAAAGGGTTAAAATTATGCCGCTTTTATTAGCCACACTAAATTGTGTGTGTGTGTTCAACCATAAAATTGCGATAAAAGACTTTTCCTTTGTGCTCAGCAGATAATATCCACGTTTCCGTTATAAAACTAAGGTACTACCGTTTCGGTGAGGGAATGGAGTTAAGGGAGTTAGAATGCAGATTTTTTAATTAATAAATTTAAGCACCGCTAAAATAACATTTATTGCACGGCTAATTTTAACTCATCTATTATATTAATGTTAAGTAGGAAGGAGGCAGAGAAAACATAACCCCAAATTAAAAATTCAGCTGCATAAGGGAACAGACAATATTGGCATAGATATATAAGTCATATTCAAATAAACTTTATAATGATGAAGACTATCTCTGACAGTTTCTGTTTTGCAACACAATGGGCCTTAGACATTAATTCGCCCTTTCAACCCACCGAAACAGAAACTTTGGTAGAACAACGTTGCCGTTAAAATTTACTCTCATTTACGCACGCATCAATAATTTACAACAAAAACTCTACGGTTGGTTGATTTCAGCGCTGCCGGTGGATTAATGGGGTCACCTTGTGATAGGCTCAAATCAAAAAATCGATTTTTTTATTATGAGTTGTTTTCTTAACATGTCTAGAATCGGCAATAAAATGATGTTTAAAAATTCTAAGTCGTTTGAAAGAGACAGCAGTTAGAAAAAGAAGCTGTTCAGAGCGCTGAGTTGCGGACTCTCGTTTTTATCAAAGCTGTGTTTTTCAAACTTTCCTCCAACGTATCTCAAAAACGGCTTAATGGAATGCCTTGAAATTTGTGAGGTACACCCAGCACATGTAACCGCATGGAATGAACTATTAAGATAAACCAATCAGTCGGCATCGTGGCGGAAGTGCGAGCACATTTTTGGTATCTGTTAACTGTTCGTAGAAAAAAATGCTCAAAAACAGCTTAATCGAATTCCTTGAAATTTGTAAGGTACACTCAGCACATGTAAGTGCATGGAATGAACTATTCAGATAAGACAATCAGCCGGCATCGTGGCAGAAGTGCGAGCCCATTTTCTCTATCTATTAACTGCTCGTAGAAAAAAATCCTCAAAAACAGGCCGCCACATAGGCTGACCCCCTTAAGCGGTTATATACACTTGTAATTTTAATTATTATAATTATTATTAATTGTTTTTTGTTTTTGTTTGCAATTTTTCGAATGTACATATATTTGAGAATATTCTCCGAAAATTTCAACTTGATCCGACAAATATTTCTGGAGATATGACCGTAGTTGTAAGAGTTTTTTAACTCAGACGAGCTTAAAGCCTCTGAAGCTAGTGTTCCTTACCTAGTATAATAATACTTGTATTATTATTTTACATATAATAAATACAATTTATAAAATAACTCAGTGTAATGGACTCCCAAAACTTTAAAAGCGTTTTTCTCGAAACGCTGTTTTCAGAGTCGGTGAGAAAAATTTCTCGGAAATAGCTGAACCGGCTTGAAATTTTCACACCACATTTTTATATATAATTTTTAGATAATGATCGAAGTTATAAGATTCTTGACAATAATTTCGATTTTTTAAGCCACTTTGAAATGTAAATTTTTTCACAAAAAATTAATTTTTTTGCTTGGAAAGCCGCCATTTGCTCAAAAATCAAAATTTTTATAATGCCTTCGATACCTACCTGTATTCATCTATCATAATACTAAATTCGATTGGTTTTTGGTTTCACATAATTGGACGCCGAAATAACTTCCTCACCGCCAGACACCTTTTTCCGGAGGTCCTTCTGGAAATCGGCTATAAGAACAAGCGGATACAATATTTTTATAAATTAATCGTTGATTCTAAAAGTACATTAAATTCTCTCTATATTCATTTTGTTTTTAAAGTCGTAAAATGCCGTTTCAAACAAAATACGTATTTTTTCAGTATTGCAAGTGGATTCAACCCCTTAAGGGGTTGCACCTCAAATCGGAGCATATTTAGGAGAAATGATTCCAGAGGATCTAACATATAAAACATATTTGGATACATTTTTTTATTTAATTGACATATTATTCCACTTTCAGAAAATATTATTGGACATAAAAAAAATTTAGTCTCGTGCCCGTAGAAGGTCTTTGACTTTGTCATCTCCAAAAAAACATGGGTCCTATTGTTGTCACACTGCGGCCATTAGCATTGGCTGTAATCAAAAATGCGATATTTTTTCGTGATCATTTTTAACTAAGCTCTGTTTCTCCGAAGCCAATTTGTGCATTTTGAAAATTTTTTAAAATATGCAATTTTTTATAACAAATTAAATTTTGTTAAATACGTTATTCTCGAAATGCTTTATTCGGAGATTTCGCTCTAATTCTAAAATGTTGTCACACTCTTTTTGACCTGCCACCAGCTTGTAACTGCCATATTAAATAATTTCAGGGACTGGTAACAGATATTGGGTCATTCATCAATAGATAATTTATTGGTTAGTTCGTCAGTAACCCAGTCTAGAAAATTCAACTAACTGTTCACTCAATCGCATCTGTATAAAGGAAGGAACGCTCACCTCAGCAGCACTCCTCAAATGGAACTAGCAACAACAAAAGGAACATACAACAATTGTTACAAGTTCTCTAATACAACCAGAGAACATACATACATACCTACATAGAGAACAAGTACTCTGCTACAACTTTCAAAAGAAGTGTCCACTAAACCAAAATTCATATTAACACCACCTATCGGCGAATAGCTGCACTAAGCTAGGCCTGTCGTATTGAGCAGCACAAGTGCCACCAGGTTTATGATTATGACCACTAGATGTCGCTTAACACGTTTCCGCAGAAAATTTATCGATTACTACACAATTATAAAAATTTATATGTAAATGGTGTATATATGTATATAGCGATTCGATAATAAAAATGTTAATAAAATGTGATTATACTTCAACAATATATGCAAGCACAAAAAAACAGACTCAATATTGGTGTTGTCATAAGACTTCTTTATAGCATTTTCGTGTCTACGATATAACGTTTTTTTATATTAAATGCAAATGCAATCTATATGTATATGTATTTTTGTGTACTTGCCATTTATCTTTCAAAGATGTATACAATAATAGTTACGATATTACGATTATGGCGAAATATTAGTTTTCCCAACAGGAATTTCTGTCAAAAGCATTTATTCTAATTGTAAACGAGACTTATGAGTATAAATACTTATCATGCTTTCATGATATAAATTGTTTTCATACTAACTAATAATTATTAACTTATGCCCTGAAGAATTACTAGTACGTCTAAGTACTTTACTACTACAAAATGCATTTTTAATTCAATACCGTGTAAATAAATGTCCACAATAAATTAGTTTCACTTTTATACATCCGTTTTGTCCTTTTGCCGCCAACTATATTGCTGCAACATAGAGCGCACCTCCTTCAGCTCATCAAGTAAGGCCGCAACATTCGCCCGCTCAATGTTTAGCACATGTGTGGTGTCCTCTGGCAGCCCATCAATTAGCTCCTGTGCGATTTTTAATTCGAATTTGACGCAACCAACCGTGTTATCGGGCTTTTCTGGCGTAGGTGGAATATAACGCACTGACGAGAGCTCATTAACTGTTTATGACAGTTGACAAAATAGCGAGAACGTAAGCGTATGGAATGCAATAATATATAAATTCTTAATAAGAGTAAAGTACTCACTTCTAAATGCTTTGTCCTGCAAGCGTTGACGTATTTGCGTCACATTGGCCGCCAAGACGCGACACATTGATGCAGCATGCTCCTTAGGTAAACCCAATTGTTGAATCTCTTCGCTGAATACCGCCTCACTAACAGCATGACGGGAAGCATTGATGAGCAAGTAATGTATACAAGCAACAGCAGTTTTGCCATCGTTCGCCAAATCAGCTGTTATGGCTTTAATAGCATTCTCCTGGGTATGCAGAATATGAGAGAAATAGAATATGAGTAGTATGGTTTATGTATAGAGTAGAACTGTTTACACCTACCTCGAACTGTTCGCCGACAATTCTCTTGGCCACCAAACTAGCTAAAGTCTCTAAATTCTTAGCGCTCAGCATGGATAGTGTGGATATAATCTCCGCCAACACCCAGTCGGGACAGTCGCCATCACCACAGAAGCGGAATTTCTGCAATAGCAATTGAAAGTGATTAAATGAGTTAACTTTGATTACATTCGGCGCAATTAAATAACGACAAAGCAAGTCAATGAGTTGAAAGAATTAACACGAAGAGACAGCATTAAACTGCATGGCGAAAATTGGTTTACGCACCATTTTCAACAATATTTTCTTGTAAACTCACACTAAGAACTTCTGTACAAAATGTGCTATTTCAATGGGTCCCCATTTGACTTCAAGCCTGCCTCCTTCCCAAGAAGTGCGCTAATTAAATATATATTCTAAGCACTCTTTATATGCGTCCCAAAGGCAAGTAAATATATTTGTATATATATATATATGCGCATGTTTATTTGAGTTTTCATCTTCACAGTGCAAGTGTTGTTTGTTAGCCAACTCGTAGAGAAGCAATTAATAAAATTTCCCTATACTTGACTGTCAGCATAAACGTAGAATTTATGACACTTGTTGCTTGCGATAATTTGTCGGAGAAAAGTGCATAGACATCAGACAAACGCCTAACACCCACCCGAAGTACAAACTGTCTCTGCAGCGGATAGCTTATTATACATGTTTGTTGTCGACACCCCTTTCACTCAAACACTCACTGGAGCATGCGTTAACGCCAAAAAGCACACTACAATTATTTGTATATCATTTTGAAATGCATAAAGTGTAACGGTTTAGAAAAAACACGCCCTCACTCCACTTCTTTATAATGTGCTAATCGTTGGCATTTACCGTTTTGTTAGCTGTAATTATTTAACTGTATGCCTTTCTTGTTAACGTAAATATGTGTTTAAATGCAAATAACACATACACATAAATACATAAATATTTGCCTCTAGTATGCCTGCGAGTTGGTTGTATTCTTAGATCCCGTTCATAATTTTTGCTATAAATATGCGTGTAGGTTTTCAATTCTTCACAGTTTGTGCTCGGTAAAACGCGGAATAACTTCATTTAAAATTATATACCAGTGGAAATAATACGGCACTTGCCCTACCGATAGCCTAATTGGTTGATAGGCCTCTTATTGTGTACGGAAGTTGCAACAAATCTTTTGATACTCAATAAATAGCGTTAAAGGTAACTTAAATATTTGAAAGTTCAATGTTTTACTGAATGTTAACGCTGAAATACAAACATGCTTTGTGTGATTATAACAGTGTGATTGCACATCGCACGCCTGCGATTAGTGATTTTCAAAATAATTTTTGTTGCAGACTTTTTTGTCAACTACTTCCTTCAACATGTACATCATCCATACAATATTTTCTATTACTTTACTGATTTTCTTTTGCCAAAATGTATATGTATTGGCACAGCCGGTCGGTGATGAGCTTAGTACATGTGAAGATCAGCTTACAAAATATCGTCGCTTTTTACTACAAGCCATTTTAAGCTTTGAAGATGTCTGTGACGCTTACGACTCACATCCACTTAACCCGCTTGAAGCTTTATATAGACAGGAACAAGACACCGTTAGTGCGCCACTTTTCCGAACACTACAAACGGGTAGCACAGCCAGCCAACAACGTAGTGAGATTTGGGCTTTTTTCAAACTATTGATGGCACAATTTAACGACATGGATTTTGTCAACATCATTAAGGAAGCTGTTATTGATCGTTGCCGTATGAAATCCCAGCAGCAGCATGATGAAAAACGCAACTCCGTCGTATTGGGTAAAAAGCAGAGATTCCATTCGTGGGGTGGTAAACGCGCACAACTATCGGCTGACGAAAGAAGCATGGACATGTTGTAAGTGCTATGAGCTGGTTAACTGTCTATAAAATCTTCACTATTCTTCACGGGCTGGATACTTTCGTTTATTGTATATAACTATCAAATGTTTTAACACAAACAAAAACCCATATAATTTTACAACTATTCTATGCTGTCTGCAACTACATTAAAGTACAAAAAGTAATACGTGTGTTATTTATTTAATACTGTAGAAAAAAACTCACCATTTTTGCAAAATATTTAGGCAGAAATTGCTTTTGGCGGTGCTAAAAGATTTTTGACAACAAATAGGCTATAAACAGAGTAATATACGTTCTCTGCTACAAAACAGAAAACAGCTGTTCTTGTGTTGCCAACGCTTGTGCAATTATACGTTCTCTGTATCTACGGTTAATCTGACCCGCGTTGCCAGCTAATGTGTAGAGGCTGTCATTAATTTTTCCGCCGGAAAGCCTATAATTTACGCGAAGTTTTGTTTCTAAGAAAATTTAGTGAATTTACAATTTAATTTTTTATTATTTTAAGGTTAATGTGTAGATTTTAAAGTTAATTTAGGGAGTATATCAAAAAATGTGCTGAGAATTTGTTTTTACGCAAAATACGTAGAATGATGGAAAGTCATAGGTGCAGAAGCAGCGTTCGCCTGTGTTTTCTATTATTGTATGCAATTTATTTTCATAAAATTACAACAAAAATGTAAGGTTTGATTTAATAGTTAGATCTAACGTACAACAAATCCATCTTACGGACCAGTTATATAGAATATCGAAGAAATGGCTCTACTGAAAAAAACTGACGAGACCTCTGGGTTAGTGGGTACGTGCAATACTTCGCCTTTTTGTGTGTATTAAGGTTAATTGTATACAAATAGTTGCGTGGGGATTTATGCTTACATTCAGCAGCATATTTCCAATAAACATACTATGTAAGTGTTAAATTCGGTTGCAGGAAACATTTAAATGAGTTATCGACCGCATAAATTTTACTATTTTATTTGAAGGTAAAACGTGAACATAACCGAACTTCCAAATTAGTAGCAGTTACTTTTACACCACACACAAAACCAACATAAAAAGTCATTAGAAATATCTACGAATTTGCAAGCGTTTTTTCGCATTTTCATCGTGTCAGTCACGCATGCTCCGCTGCCAAAACGTTGTTTGGCCTCAAACCGCAAGGAGATAAACGCGTTGTTTGTGAGATATGCAGACCAGCAGCTGCGTGGGCGTGAATTACTGTCGTATGTTTATTATTTCGCATGTGCATACCTGCGTCAAAGCGTTGCAATTTTTCCAGCTTATGCTCTTTTTAGGCTAAAAGTGCCTTAATAAAATACATCGTCGTCGCATGCTTAACAACTGTTACTGTTGCTTGCGGTTGACTAGTTGACTGCCGTAGTTTCGCTCCCTTGGCTGATTTATTGCCATTTCCCACTAACAACAACAGCCGCTGAGCCGGCAACATTTGGGTCGCCGTACACGACCACGCATAAAAATTGAAGGAAATGTTTGCATATTTTTCATAAGCGTAGCTGGAACCCACGAATTCTTGCAGAGCAGCAGTAATTGGAACTGTGTACGCGCGTAATGTGCCTTAGTTGTGGGTGTCTCTGTTTATAGGAATTTCTTCCAACATACTCGTACATACGCGCGTGCCCAGTCCGGTTTATTTATTATTTTTGCAGAGTTTACTTAGCTTTGTCTGTAGACGTCGTCGGATTGGCGTTTACCAATCGATTACAATTCATTTGTGTGCAACTCGGTTCAACGTTTTTTCTGCACTCTTCGGTCTTGATAAGGTTTTCACAATGGAATTTCAAGTCGCTGGCTGTGTGGTCGCCGAGATACGCTTGTGTATTTACACTAAAGAAAAGATATTTTTATGCATGGATTTTTCATTGTTTGTTATTAATATTTTACACTATCTTATTTCCGTCAGTAAACATTTTCTTTTGCAAGTGGCAACGCTCGTTGGCAATTAAAAGATTACTTAAGGACTATTTATATTATGTTTACAAATTCTATTGTTTGATAGTAAGTATAAATTTATAAAAAACATTTGTACATATAATAATATTTGGGAACTTTCGCCTAGAGTTTATGTACGCACGCCCTACTTTACTAATCTCTGTGTCGTGAAATAAAAATACTCGAGTGCTATAAATGTAGAGCGCTGGGTTTTGCTGCCGCGCTGCTGGGTCAGAGATCATATGAAAAATCGCCAATTTATTTCATTATTATTGCTACTTGACTTTTATTATTTTTGCGCTGTTGTTTAAATTTATTTATTTTTTTGTTTGTTTCATGATTGATGGGTATTTTTGCTTCATTATTGTTGCTGCCGTGTATACTTTTACGGTATCTCAATCAATGGGCCCAAAACACTGCGAATGCAATGCTGGTAAGCTGGAGGGTACTGGGATGCAAAATTTTAAGAATACAAATAATTTTTAATGCAAGGTGCGACCAAGAATACAATTTTTTGCTGCTTTACTGACCAGAGCATTGACACTGGCTGGCCTTAGACACTGCTTTTTAGAAAAAAAATTTATTATATTATATATAGAAAAAAAGATATTATTCTTATCTATTTCACAATGCTGTGAATGAAATCAAAATTAATTGAATGAGATGCCTTAGAAAATTTGCGTATTAAAAAATAAATTCATTATTTATGATCTCGTTGATGGAAATCTGTAAAATGTATTTCTGACGCTTTCATCAGCTGATTCTGAGTGTTTGCTATTTTGGGTTTTTTCCTCGTACTTTCTATCTGAACGGAAGCAGATGTCAATGTAATTAAATTGAACATGCAACGATGCTTTTTAACAGGTTCGATGTAAAATGTTCGCAGCCAAATCGTTTATTTGCTATAAGGTAATTATAACACAAGTTGGAGTGAAAATTAATACATTTCGGAAAGTAAGGGTTAGCATTTTTTAATATTTTTCGAAAGGGGCTTGTTTCTTGAAGTGGAGAGGCTACAAAATGTTCAAAAAAACTGTAAATACACCACTAAAGAAACCAAAGTAAAAACTTTGCCTTCAAAGTCAGCCGAAGAGTGTTTTTATTTTTTATTATTATTATTATTTTTTTTTTTTTACTTTTCACATTGTTTTCGCTTTATGTTGCATTTTTAAGTAACCTTTTTTTTTGTTTTTTTTGCTATAATCGAACATTTTCCACACATTTGTAGTAATCCGTGGCAATCAGCTGTTTAACGAGCCACTTACGTCAATGACAGCAGATAAGAGAAGCGTAGGCGAATAAGGACGCTGTCAAAGCCTAAAAATAGAACTAAATACACGGTAAGGAAGTTTAACGGCGTAAAAGAACTTATTTTCAAAAGCTTGAAAGCATGAGAATAATGAAATTTGTCACTTTAGTTTTAAATCCAGCAGCAGCACTTAATTAAACTGTTCAAACTATTCAATTGTTACGTTTCGAAATTAGCAGGGTATACACCGCCAGCGCCAATTATTAAAAAATAATTTTATAAAATAATATTGAGTTTTGATTTAATTTAATTTTTATGTTTTATAACATTCCTACATTGTAGTGCTATACAAATTTATTTATAAATTGTAAATTTTGTGCACAATCTGAAAAGCGCATAACGCACTTTGGTGGATTTTCAAACATTTTTAATTAAAAATTATATATTCCGCACTAGGATATCTATTTTATATTTTTGTGGGAATATATTTCTGATTTATGGTGAGTAATCGAGAGGATAAATTTGCAGTAATCGAGAAGATAAAGTTGCACCGAATCTATAATATCCTTCACAAATACAAAGGTACCTTACAAGAACTCAATTCCGATCGTTCAATTTGTTTAGCAGCTATATGAACCAATCGGAACAATTTCTTTGGAGATGACATTATTGCCTTAGGCAATAACCCATGCGAATTTTCGTGTAGATCTCGCAAATTTAAATTGTTTTCCATGCAAGCACTTGATTCCGATCGTTCATTTTGTATGGCAGCTATATGCTATAGTGGTCTGATATCGGCGGTTCCGACAAATCAACTGCTTCTTTATGAGAAGAGAACATGTAAAAAATTTCATATATTTTTATCTCAAAAAGTGAGAGACTAGTTCGGCGTATATACAGACAGAGGGACCGACAGACAGACGGACACGTCTAAATCGACTTAGCTCATCATGCTGATCGTTTATATATATATTTTATAGGGTCACCGACGTTTCATTTTCGATGTTACAAACTTCGTGGCAAACTTAAAACTAAAAATTCAAAATAAATAGTGCGTGCCAAAGCCACATACACTTTTCTGAAAACGTTGTGAAGCTGTTGCTTTTGAAAGTTTTTTTTTGAAATTTATGGTGAATAATAATGTTGACCACGCTCCCATAATTCACACATAAATAACAGAAAAGTGGCGAGTCACCATGTTTACGAGCTTAGAAAGAGTCCACTTAACTATCACATACATTTCTAAATACGTCATTATTGGCTTCTGCATTAGTAGCTGACGATTGTTAAATTCAGAATAAACTTATTTTTGGCAAACAAAAAATTTTATCACATACAGTTATAGCATATGTGGGTATTTTTATACTCGAATATGTTGGATTCTGGGAATAAAAGAGAGAGTTTATATTTTAAAAGCTGACCGTCAGAGCCACTTTAGCTGCCGCCTCAAACTAATAAACACTTTGCCAACACAGGAAAATAGCATATGTCATCAAAAAGTATAGAAATTCCAACTAATTATCCTAAGAAACATACAATTCAATATAGGTATATATACATATATATCTACTTTCACCCTCAGCTATTGATAATCAACTCATGTGTCCTTCATATGTTGGTAGTCACATTTGTATAGATATGCAAATTCTTAAACAATATATGTACATATGTATGTGACATGTGAAATCGTGCAACAAAATTTGCCTCCACAAGTAAACACAAAGTGTAACATCTACTACAGTAGTACGATTTGCACTTCAAAAATAACCCTTAACCTTAGCATTAGAGTATGAACTAAATAAATCGCAACAATAACAAAAAGATTGACAGATCATGTAATCTACATATTATTTTCAGCGGATCAGTCAAGCATGTGATGTTCGCACTAACATTTCTGAACAGTCAGCAATTTACAGTAATCTAAAATTGTCAAAACAATGCTGAGTTTTTTCCCCCCGTAGTCACTTTATTTGTTGTCTAATATTTCAATTAATTATAAATCTAAAACACACACACATATCATGATATACTCGTATTATTGAACTCGATGCGATTAAGATTAAGCAATCGTAGTGGCGCCGGTGTACTGACAACGGCCGGATTTATTTCACTGCTGGCTTAGTAAAT